TGCCACTGTTGTACAACCTTTCCGTACCCATAAACTAATTTAGTCAAAGTGGAGCTGTGGACAGAGTCTGGGACTTTTGATAAGGGGATACTTGAAAAAGATGAACTAGTTATTTAATGTCTGCTTTTCGGCTCAGCATACAACAAGGATAAAGACAGGGTTGAAAACAGTAGCAATCTTTCAGTATATTTTGCTATTGGTAAAAAAGGATTTAGGATCAGAATTATGTGCACACCAGGCCTGTGTAATATTATCTTAAAAAACCAGGCTTAATAGCCTGTCAGATGATCAGTAAATCAACATCATGCACTTTTCCATAATTAAATCAATTGATCGATCACGCGCTGTCAGTTTTGGGGCACATAGTGCCAATCAAAGGATCCCTACTGAAAAGAGGGTCGAAGTACACTGATCATTTGTGCAAAACCAAATAGGGTACAGGGATGAAACAAGATGATTCAGTGGTTAAGGTGCAAACTCACTGATCGGGAGGTCTATGGCTCTAACCCAATCCTGGCCTCTCGACTGCTCCTGTCTAGGCTTGAGCAACCTGGCCGTATACCGGCCATTCATACTTCCATCGAGAAACAAGGAAACAATGCTCCAAAGTGGTGCTACAGCTGAACGGTTGACTATGAATGGAAAATTGGACCAAATAGTGACGTGCGACCTTCAACCTTCCTTTCTGATTCGTTCTTGGGCCAGAGTCATACTCACTAGAAATCGTGAAATTGCATCCTATCAAGCTCAATCCAGTCTGACTATAATTTTCTTAATGAATGGTTTCGCCCCGCTCAGCACTCTTCGACTCGGGAGGCATTCAATCTCATCCCATGTATAAAGTTTCATGAAGTTGTTCTCGTTAGAAAACCAATCAAACGGTCATTCCACATTATTGGTGAGCACAAGGACATTTGCCAATCATTGTGACTTTCCACCCCATTTATCCAGGTTCTGCATAATAATGGCTCTGCTCGAGTCATCCATGCACTTGGTTGGCCAGCTTTCAGGTTGCACTTCATCGAGTAAAGTTTAAACGAGTAACTTCAGACGAAGCTGAGTTTAGCTTTATTTAGAATAGGCCGCATCTGTGCAAGTGTCACTGTTGAGTAGGCAGCGAACGGTTACGTTCAGGTAGCCCACTCATCCTCTATCGGAACATAATAGTCTGGGTATGTTAGCATTACCCGGAGGTAGAATGTATGTATTCCTGCACTGTGCAGCACACTGAAGCAAGCGTGAGCTTACGTCGTACCTACAGGTAAGATTGTTTACAGTGCCCGCTTCCCTGAATGAAGTAAGATAGCAGGGACATGATCAAGAACCGAGAGTTCTTCTATATGGGATTCTTCAAATTTGGATATCATTCTAGTCGGCTTCACTAAACTTCATGATCAGTCCGTCAACCGTTCCATTAAATTGAATATACCAACGCAGGCCGACAACAGTACACCAATTACGTGTTTTTTACAGCTGCTGCTGATGATGATGTGATATAAAATAACCACCTCATTTTTCGATTTGGACGGCAGTAGATTGCCTAGACAGCGTTCTGCGATACCTCGAATATATTCACCTGGAGAAGATCACAGAAAACATAATCAGATGGGAATCAGTTGCGTTTCTATTTAATATCAAACTGGTGTGGTTTTCAAATTTCTTGCGATTTGGGTTCAAGTAGGACATGAGGTTGACACAAATTCAGGGACTGCGTCTACCTGATGAGCCCCAAGGAGGGCGAAACCGGTCGTGGAGTTTCTAAGAGCTTTCAGCAACCTTGTGAGTAGTTTCCTTTATGAAAATTTACTGCAGTATTTTGAATATCGTACCAATTGAAACACGAGGCGGCCTTTGTGCAGCACATTCAGTTGGAGAATATCATAAACGAGAGATCCGGTTAAGTCTCCCGTGAAAACCAAATCGATTAGTGTATTTGTCAAATGTCGTGCAATTTTGGTTCAATTAGAACACAAGGTTGAGGAAAATTTGGCGACTGCGCCTACCTGAATGGCCCCCAATAAGGCCGAAAACAGTTGTCATTTGTCGAAGAGTCTCCAGCAAGACTCGGAAGCCTTCTCGCTAAGTGAGGTGAGTTTCGTAAGAAGGTATGACAAACTCTCTTAGTTAATCTATGCTTGCACTAGTGATTGTGTTAATACAATGCTTCCCTTCCAGACAGTGTTTTTTGGCATGGGTCCCCCGAGTAAACCAGTTAGCTTGTGTGGACACCTTATCCTGGCGGTCCTTAATTCCATCTGAATCATAACGAGCAGATTCTGTCTACTCACACAGATTGGTTCCTCATCCGGCCTTTTCACTTCACGAATCCATCTCCCTATAAAAAAATATTCAAACATCGAAAATGGTGTTGCTTCATATGAGGCCTTAGAACTGGTAAATGCATTGCTCTATTTTGGGATTTCTTTCATCAAAAAGTAAGAGCATGTCACACTATGTCGCACAAAAATAACTTTACATTCATCCTTGCTTTGAATCTGCGAGTTGCATTGACATGTCCCGGTGAGTTAGCGCCGTTTGGCCATAGGTGAATGTGGGCCTCCTCACATCGGATCAGGTGTTTCCGAAAAACCGCTTCGTTGAACGATCGGCCACAGAATTCACATGTTTGTTTGTCTGTATTGAAAAGAAATAAATATCCCGAAAAGCTTGCATGTAAACCGGTGTTTTTTCAGGGGATAAAACACTCGTCCCAATTCGGAAAGATGTTAGGTGGGCGCGAATTACTGACTCTAGCAACCTATTTTTTACAGAACGAGGACTCACTCTCCAAAGAAAACGGTTGATTGTGTTCAACAGCCCAGTAATCATGAAAACACACCGCGAGACAGTGGTTAAGGCAAGAACGTACTGGCCGGAATGTCCGTGATTCGAACGCAAACCCGACTTCTCGACCGCTCCTCTCCATGCTTGGGCAACTGGGAATTATTCCAGCCCTCATACTTACATCTGGAGGCATGGCAGCCGGACACTCAGATATCACAATTGAACGAAGAATTTTCAGCAACCTTACGAGTAGTGTGTTACGTGTATGAACGATTACTCCTTTTTCATAACGATATGAACTAACCAGGGAAATTGTATCGTTGCATCAAAAATGTTCCAACAAACACAATCTTAATGAAACCAGTCTTTTAAATCGGTCTGGCTACATTGGTTTAGCACGATTACGACTAGGATGAAAATGCGAAACCGTCAGTTGCTCACAGTGTACAGTTTGAGCTCACATTACCAGAAAGCCAACCAACCATGTATAGAGTGACAATAAAGAGTACAAAAAATGCGAGGAAAAGTCAGTATTTTTAAAAAGTTTACTCACCGACTGTCGTGCTCCCAACGCCTGCACTCATTACGGGATCCTGAAAGCCGATTGGTTCACCTCGACTATGTCGCAGTATTGCTTGAAACTCATTGTGTCTCGCGCGCCATCGCTGTCTTCTTTCTTTACCCAGCCGAAGTAGGTCACTCATTGAGGACAGGAACGGAATGATCTTTTGGTAATCCTCAGTGTGTTTTACTATATTTGTCCCGTCACCACCTGCTTTATTGACTGTGATTTGCCTCGGCTTTCGACAATAAGCTTCATGTTTTGGCTAGAAAACGAAAAAAGACGCATAAAGATGAAGTTGTTTAAGTTTAAAATACGCGAATTGTTTGACTTTTTTTTAGATATTTCGTGGCGTAACCGTTAGCCTCTACCAAAGTGGACGGCTAATCGGTTGTACGGCAAATCTCAGATGGTCAATGTGGAATATACTTAGGGGATATTACACCTGGTTATCTCGCCACGGCCGTCTCTGTTCAAAAGGCACCAAGTTCTGAAGCGCCACATCGCTGGAGGCGGAACGCTCCACAATAAAGCAAGACAACCTCAAAACATACAAATCGGAAGTACCATTTTTAATTTGCCAGGGACTACATTAAACTTCTTTCCACAAATGTGAACTAGCCGGTCAACTTTGCCGTGAAAGTGTGTTTCAGTCCATCGTTGGCTTTTTCCAAATGGTCAGTTATTTATTCATATAAGATATTCCATGATTCTCGCAAGAGGGACAGTGATATATAAGCCATAGAGAGTGCTAAAAGCAACACAACGGTCGGAGTGAGTAAAGTGGTCGGTAACGTAACTACCACGAATGGACGTCCATTTCAGACTTGAAGAGCAACCATGGAACTTTGGTCACTAGATTTTTGTGGATTGCATTATTGCAGGAATATGGTGCTACTTTGCACCGAGGAAGGCCTTCGTGGATCAACGAAAAGCTCTCCACCAAGGGAATGTTTCTGATATAGAGACTGACTGGACAGATTTCTCTGTCGGAAGAACAAATGTGCTTTTCCCATTTTCCAAAAACCACATGTTTTGAGGTGAGACGTCATTAGAACCTTTAAACAAAAACCTGTTAGCAGCGAAGGCCATCTAAATGAAGATAACTTTTGGAAAATAACATGTCGGACAATGTGGCTTGCCGTACTCAGTAACATTATTTTCCAAAAACTGTGCAAAACGAAACACGGGAAAGAATCAGGTGGTTAGGTCGTGTAACTAAATTAGTATCTGCATGACGAACTTTCACCCTAACAATAATCGGTGTCCTGGAAAGCGTGCAGTGTTAGGAAACTGCTATTTTCTTAAAACCAGGCTTATAGCTTTCGTGCGTTTAGACACCGCTCTGTTTTTTCAACCAGAGATGGCTAGACAGCGGTACATACTACATTTTCTGGATGCACTGAGTTTTGTAAAGCACCACTTGATACAGCCACAGGAACTCCACACTTGGCGTGCACGGAAAAGGTGCTGGTGCAAGGCTATGTGAGTGGCACAAAACATTGGGTCTTACGGTGAATGTTACGAATTGACATTGTGAACTGCAGATTGGCACAGGTGACGAAATCTCTCTCAGGCCCGCGCGCACTGATCGAATATCAATAGAGAAGAGTTATAAAGGCGTCAAGTGAGCGTATTGCCGAATTTTGGTGGACCGGTACAACAGTTTGTAATATCTGGAAGTTTGCTCTGTCATCTCCTCGAATATAGCCGTCCGTTATGATAATTCTTCACGAATGTCTTGAATAGGCGAAAATTACAAAATTTTACGGTTTTTGTTTGCACAGGGAACTTGCCAACTGAAATATTACGCGGTATAACGATTTCGACTCTCCATTATAACTACTCCAGTTTTTTGTGGTTTATTTCGCATTTATAGTCCTTTTATGCTAATTTTTTCCGCACATTACATATGGATCATCTTTCTGGTATTAGTAAGATCCATAGACATTGGAATATTTTTAGAGTCTTGACGTTCTCTCTGGTGTTACAACATAGTAAAAACATGCTGTCGTCGGGGCGCTTATTTTCTAGCATATTCCACCTGGTGTCTTTAGCACCACCGGTTGTGTGTCCGACTAATGAATGCATGGGGCCTAATGACCAGTTTTGGCTTGTGACGCCGTACCATAAATGTTTGCCTACAGCATTTTCGATCACTTTAACCGAAATTATGTGGGGTGTGATTATTCTAGAAATTAAACAGCGTGTAACAACAAGGTGGGTAATCGGCACACGGGGGTTACCCTACAAGGGAAGGCTAAACGTGCTGCATTCACAAAATATGGAACAAAGGCGACTGCGGGGACACCTGATTTTGATTTGAAAAACGGAAACTGAACTTTCTTGATTACTTGCGTTATCTCTCGCAGAGCTAAGAAATGGGAACTGGTTGATGGGTATTACAAACACCCTCATGAACAAAAGCCGTGAAATGGGAATCCAAGGGGTTTTTACTAGAGAAGGATGGAAAGTCAGTGTAATAGCCTTCTGAAGGTCATCGGTGCTCCGGATATAAGCGTTTTTAAGAACCCGGATGATTCCTGGCATCAGTTTTCAGCTATTAGCTAAAATACCGTACTAATACACGCTGTAAGATTTCGGTAATGACTGAGCCGTAGAGCTGTGTTACTGCATGCCTGATAGCTAGACCGGTCCACTCTGGGTACTCTCTGGTGAACGCTGATGAGTGACTAGAATTAATAGCTTAGCTCACCTCTTTTATGCAAGTTCATGGTTCAACTGACTAAACTTATATCATTTTATCAGCTAAAATTAATGTACCAAGGACACGTTGTTTCCAGCTGCCACAGTTCCGATCGTCGGAAGATGGGAGATCTTGAGAGCTACAGCCCAGAATTAGATGCAGTGGCATTTTTAGTTGGTTTGGGAGTTTGGTAGCCACGCTCTTAGAGCGATAACCCTGATTCACAAACACCACTGATTGCGTGATTGTGCAATGTCTGCCAGTTCAACTAACCGCCTGTGGGTTGAGTCCAGGGATCCTCACCCAGGAAGGTGGCTGTTGTTGATCGACTGAGTTAACCACAATAAATAAACTAATGACCCGACATTAACACCATTTTGGCACAAAGCCGTCATGCCACCAGACATAAGCACGAGGGCTGAGATTTTGTCAGTTGTCCCAGCCCAGACAAGAGTAGTCGAGATGTCGGGGTCTGATTTGAACTATGTAAACTTCGGTTCGTAGTTCTGTGTCTTTAATTATCTCTAGCCCAACTGATTTGACTGGTCAGTATTTTCATGCATGACCATTTTGCCCTAAAATTGGAAATAAACCTTAGCCTCTGCCTTCAGCGGTGGTTGGAAAGTATTTCAGCTTTCCTGTCAACAAGATCGAGGATGCTAGAAATTATAGATACAAAACTTTGCAACAGAAGATCACCCTAAACTAAAACAAGCAAGCAAAAGTGACGGGCAATACTATGTGTGGCGTAAGAGGTTACGGGTGCCTGAGATAAAAACGCCCGAGACTGGGTCAGAGTTTTATGAGCTAGCCTGAAATCGATGGCTTTCCAAAAGAGTAAAGCGCGGGGACAGTAACTACTGAATATAAACGGGCTCAGTAGTGGGTGTGGGGAGGTTTTGTCATGAGTCACTATCGGAAGCGTATGAATACTTGTTAGCTTCATACGGATTATACATCTAGAATTCAATAAGAATAGACTTAGACATGAAAATATGGAGAGTAAGGCAGTCGCCGGTAAAGCCTTGCCATCTTTATGCAAAGGGAACCATTGTTTTTTTAGATGTGAGTGAATAAAGGATGACCAAAGGGTCAAAAAGGTGGCTGCATCGAGGTGGATAAATGACTGAAGAAAACTGGTGATGCACTACTCATAAGGTTGCTGAAAATCCGTCGATAGCCGACAGCCGGTTTCGTCTTTATTAAGGCTTATCGGGTAGGCGCTAATTTCATGCAATTTGGTTTCAATTAGAACATGAGGTTGACGGAAACCCGGAGAATGCGCCCACCTTATGAGCTCCAAGAAGGGCGAAACCGGTCGCGGGCTGTCGCCGGATTTTCAGCAACCTTATGAGTAGTGCATCACCAGTATATACATGCATCGCGATATCTCGAATATCGTAGCGACTGAAACATGAGGCGGCCTGGTGCAGCACATTCAGTTGTCTGGAAACATCACAAACGAGAGATTCAGCTTGGACCAAGGTGAGTCTCTTGAAAAACCAAATTAGTTTGCAAAATAGTGACTGAAGAAAATATTTTACAGCGTTGCCGACTTCCGTATTTGACTGAAGGTATATAAGAGGCATAAGCGTTTTTAAGGTTATCAATTTCCAAAGGTTGTTCCGGGGCGCTTTTGGGCTATAAAATTGAACGGTCAAATGTAAGCTAAGCTACTTGGATGGTCAATGTGGACGGTCGTTTGGACACAAACAAAATGAGTGCAACAGTTGTTATTCACTAACTGGAATGAACTAGAGTCACGTGACCAGATTTTAAGTTTGTCTTCAAAAACCAACTGATGCGTATTAAAAAGAAGGCTACAGAACAGCGGACCGATGTACGTGGTAGAGAATATGGGTCGTGGGAAAACATTTTAGGCTCTCAATAGTTACGTGAAGGGCTAGGATTTGACCCGAGCCACCGAGGTTAGATTTTTAAGGCAGCTACTATGCCATTTTGATGGAGACAGAGATATTCACCCGTGCATTAAACTTTTGGAAAGACCAGGAATATGCAGCTACCAGACTAACTACTACCAGTGGACTTGAGTATGTTCGAAACGAATATAGACAGGTCTGGATGACATTACCTGAACCGGAGGCATCCGTGCTGAGCCAAATGTATAAAGAGGGTCAAATATACCACTGACTTAATGGAACATTTTACCATAAACTTGCACAAAATACCTGTAAGACTAACAGAACAATATACGCCTTGGCTATGACTGATAGTATCTTCGAAAATTTGGTCGATTATAACCCGTTTTTAAGTGCAGGGAGGATTCGCTGGAAGAATAAGCAGCCGAACGTAATACTCTAGAGTATGAAATGAAAAGTGACACTTTCTTCAAGGAGCCTTTATCATTATTATTATCTGGGGAGCTGCTAGGACCAAATATTGACGAATTTCTGCACGTCTTGCAGTATTATGGAGAAGATAACCAAGGTGAAGGATGGTAGGTGGAATGAGATGTCTGTAATCAGCGTATTATCCGATTGTGCGGTCTATACTGATGGTGAGGATCGATCTCCAATAGGTTTTGGGCCTTCACCGAA